TAATACAGCAGTATCAGTAACAGCAGTAATATAGTAGCACAGTAGAGTCAGTAACATGTTATAGTAGTACAGTAATATCAGTAATACAGTAGTATAGCAGTATCAGTAATACAGTAGTATAGCAGTATCAGTAATACAGTAGTATAGTAACATCAGTAATACAAGCAGCGCACACTCTTAAAAAAAACGCTAACAGTGATAGGGAAAGAATGTTTCATATAAAATATATGAAATACATATTAATCTGCATTACCAACAATAAATTGTCAATATAAATTATAACCCTACATGACATCAGCTGTTGTATCCACCTTTTATTTTTGCTCATTTTTATTTAATTCTAATAACTAAAATGATCGTTTCTGTTGGAACTTACTGACATTTCAGGCTTGATTCACAGTGTCAGTACTAAATTATGTTAAAAACTGTGCATTCCCAGTACTAATAAATAACCACGACCGGCCTGTTATATCAATAAAAAATGGTTCAAATATTTAGTTGTCTCAGCGTGTGAAATTACTAAAGCGCCGACTGTGTTTATGTACTAAGGAAATGAAAAGAAAATGCATAAGCCACATTTGTCCGGTTGAGGGTCCTACAGAAAAAATGTCCTTAACACCGTCCTACTGTATAAGTGGCTGTCATTTGAGCCCTCGTGTCCTCGCCACCTTCCATTTATCCTTCATGGAGTGGGATTTAACCTTAATCTAAATATTTATATGAGAATCGTAAGGTAATTGGTATTCTGGCGCCCCCAGCTGGCCGTTCATATAATATGATATCCATTGCTCCTTCGAACTCCAGGAAAAGAGTAATTCTGGTGAAAATGTGGTGACGGAGGGACTTGCCGCTTTTCATTTTGCCTAGTCTCTATACTTCTTCAGTTTATTTATTAGAATACGAAATATCAAAAAATTGTAATTAAGAAACTTGCAGTCACTGCGACGTCCAGTGGGCGCCTTTCCCTGTCGCTGTCATGCAGAATGACAGGTGACACCTCAGCTGAAAACCATGAACGGTGTAAATAAAAATGCAACAATACATTTGACACAAATAAGACAGCGGCGTGTTTTCCCAGCATAGGCATGATACCTGACTGAGCCGAATCACATGAGCAGAGTAAATAAATTTAAATGCGTGTTTTGCATGCGTTACAGTGCTTATCTGGTTAACACTTTACTTCAGGGGGTACAAATACTCGGTAGTAACTCAGTTACTACTGAAGTACAAATCATGAACAAATATAGAAGCTACTAGAGATAAAAGATATGTCATGATTCATTAATGATGCATAAACATGACAAGACGGGCAATAAAGGAGGGATACGAGGGATGATCCACTGAGTGGCTCTCAACGAAAATGGGGATTATTAACAAAACAGAACACAAAAGGGGGGAAACAGGAAATAAAGGCAACACGAGGAGTCAAGGACAAAACAGGGAAAAAATAGAACTAACAGTAACCACAAAGTAATATAACTTGGGAACAGAGCAAAACAGGAAGCAAGGAAACTGACCACAGCTACAAACACGCAGTAAGAACTACAATGACAGACAAACAAACAGAATGAGGTAAAGGGCACAGACTGATGTGGGTGGAGTGGTGGCTCTGAGGCTAGGGATCTGCGGCTAGGGATCTGCGCCAGCAACTGGAAGGTTGCTGGTTCAAATCCTGAGAATGCCAGCTACAAACACACAGTCACAACTACAATGACAGACAAACAAACAGAATGAGGTAAGGGGCACAGACTGACGTGGGTGGAGTGGTGGCTCTAAGGCTAGGGATATGCACCAGCACCTGGAAGGTTGCTGGTTCAAATCCTGAGAATGCCAGCTACAAACACACAGTCACAACTACAATGACAGACAAAAGAACAAAATGACATACAAGGGGCAGGTGTGGGACATAACCAAAAACAAATCAGCACAGAAGAACAAGCAACAGGTAAAGTAAATTACAGAAACCAGAAGTGAATCTCTCTACCAAGAATGCAAAGACTGTATTTGTGATCTTGGCAAGACTTGCCTTCCGAGAAGGAACTGTGAGTGCCACCAATCATAGGATTGGTCTTGTTTGGTGAGGAATGCAACTGATGTACCCTTTATATTTCGGGCAGAGCAAGACCAACATCTGGCAATTTCTATGGTCCTCTGTACTTGTGTTCTTAGTATTGGAACTGGTCTTTGGCAATGAAGTATTACATAAAACGAGAACACAGATACGGTCAAGTATTCGCCCCAGGAAACCTTAACAAGCACGAAGGGTTAAAAACACTGGGGAAGACTAGGAGCGTAAGTCTAAGCAGAACATTTTTTACAAAGCACAAGCAAGTTAAACCTAAACCAAGGACACAAAGCAACGACAAAAACACGCGCGAAGGAAAACAGCAAATTAATAAATATTAAATAATAGGTGAGTCTTAATCTATATAATAATCTATACAATAATTTTTATGGACTTTGCATGGTATTTGCTTGTCTGTTTGTTTTATATTGCACAGTACAACCTTCCCATAGACAATCCTTGTGCTCACACCAAAAAAATGCAAAATCACAAATTATATGCATTTAGATGAGAGAAGAAATTAATGGAAAGTTGCAGGCAGGAAGGGTTAGGTAAGCTGCCCACTTAGCTTGTCACCCGCACCCAAGCCAGATATCTCGCTCGTGTGTTTTGGGGAAGTGCTTTTAACCCCCCCCAACACCTCATCTTCACACACCCTGAAATAAGAGCTTGATAGTTCTGTCCTTGAGCCAAGCTGCCTAGATTACGGTCAGCATTGCACAAGGCACTAGATTTTGTTGATAAATGTTACATTACAGAAATGAAGGATCAAATGCCGTGTAGGTCGGTCAAAATGAAGTACAATTCATGAAAAAGCTGGCGTTAATTGTGCAATGGCGCAAAACAGCAAGGGCGAAGTGAGAATGCATACACAACACTATAATAAAATAATATAAAATTAATTTAATTCCATACCATTTTCACTTCATTTTTATCCATTAGAAAAAAATCTTGTCAGATATCTATTGCTCGGATCTAAACTTTGAGGTTGTATAAAGTTTAGATTGTGTGGATGTGCGTGTAGATTAATTCATGTGATCAGGGCATCATTTATTTCAAAAGATCGTGCAGGAAGATGTTTTTTCTCAGTAACTGTTGAGCAACTTTGATTGCAGTTTATTGACTAATCATCTGTTTACTAAACAACGTAACCTTATTTGGCATTTACAGTAAAACACAGAATCTGCTGAAAAAAATGCTACTTAATTGTTTTAGATTACAGCCAATATTTTAAAAAGCCTATGATGGTAATGGCTGATCTATGAACTTGACAAATACATGGTAACTTAGAAACTTATGTGAAGTATTAAAATATATATTAAAAGTGAATTGTCCATATATAGTTTAAATTTAAAAGAATACTTTTAAAATAAGATTTTAAAAGTATTCTCCCACTGTGTGCACAAAGGCCAGTGAACGCACATCTGTAATAAGTGTTCTGAATTATTTTTATTTACTCATCCAATACGGCGGCCTGAAGTGACCCAGGGGACACATGCAAACAGGCTCTGCTTCCACGCAGCAGGTCAGAGAAAAGGCAGGTGCACGTGTCTCTCAGTCTCACTGAAACAGAATGGAAAACAGCAGCTGTCCGACCAGCAGTGATGACACAGATTCTCACAAAACACCACCTTTAAAATAGTCCTGTGCACATGCACGTTTTGGGGCCAGCTGACATTATTTATTTATTTGTTTGTTTATTTATTTATTTAATGAAATTTAAAAAAATACAAAACATGCACTGAACATAATGATAAAAAACCTGGGGCAGATTGGGTCAGTCTCACATCAGCTTCCTATGATGACTCCTTGTGTGATGTAATGCACATATATGCGATTGGAGGATTCATTTAATGAAGGATTCCTCTAATGTCATTTGATCGCAGTGCCTTTTTAACTGAGGATCATTGTGTTTCTATTTGTTTGCCTGCGTTTGTCTTTACTGAGGGACACAGGTTCAGGTTTCCCACGCTGGGCTGTTTGTTTTGGGGGGGGGGGGGCTGATGCAAAGTTTCCGTATGGCGTTCCAGCCCGTGCCAGTGGGAAATGCTGAAGGTGTACAACGGCCGTTGCGACTCCCCCTGCTTTCCCCGCATTTCCCCAAAAAAGTAGGGTTCGAGCTTCACATACATGTATGTAAGATCGCCGGAGAAAACTGTGCTGTAATCAGCAGCGTAGCGACAGGACATGCGAGTTAGGCAACGCGGGGCGGCTGACCGCATCGCCACAGCAAATCTGCTTTATTTCTGTACTGTGTTGTTCACAAAACCGAACATAAAGGTCTTGTGTTTATTAACTTCTCTTTATTGATATTATTGGTGTAGACTTCATGCTAAAATAATGGCAATAAACTGCCATGTCAGGGGAGGGGGAGGGCAGTCGGGGGGGGCCCATGGAGTTTTCTCTTTTCTCCTAGGGCCCCCATTGTCCGCACAATCACTACTGGGTGCAATAAATGTATCAGTTTACAGGAAGATACTAGACAATGTAAAATAATATTGATATTACATTATGAAATCATACAGGACATAAATGATATGGAAACATTTATAATCAGTCTTGTCTGCTGTGGATGGGATTGCAGGACTGATCTCATAGCACATGCTATGTTAATGTCACCATCCCACCAAATGCCGTGCACTGTACTCCTAAAAGGCTTGAAAGTTTGATGGCTTTCTGCACTGAACTGGACCCTGAGGTGTCCTGAGTAACTACCTTGGAAAACTGGGATTCTTTGAACAGTTTATCTTTGCCTGTTTGTTGGAGCCATGAGCAGCACGAGAGCCTAAAAATAACTGGCACAGCAGTGCCAGGGTAGATAATGTGAGGAGGGATTTCTATTGGTCGATAATGTGAGGAGGGATTTCTATTGGTCGACTTCATTAAGGCGTGCTCTTTAAAAGGGAGAACAGAGCAAGAGTCTGGTCAGTCAGGCAACATGAAGATCCTCCTTCTTTTGGGGTTGGTGGCAGTCACTCTGGCTGAGGTGACACGTTTTGATGGGTAAATCATTGCGTCTCCCAGCACGATGTAGGGCCACAAACCTGTTATGTTTAGCCTCAGTTTGGTTTCTCTTTCTTCTCCTTTCTCTTTAGAGGAAAGGTGTATCGCCTCAAGCCAAAAACTGAAGAGCATGTGGAGATCATTAAGGAAATCGGAGACGAGTTTCAGGTAGACTCATCGCCTTGAAAGAACATCCAGAAATACTGGAGGCGTAGCGAGGAAGATTAAGCCAAAGTACTGTGAGGATGCGTATCTTTTCAACTTTTGATGGGTGTTTTGTGAACCCCTCTAGCTGGATTTCTGGATCCCCAGCAAGGCTGACCAGGTGACCATCAGCTCCAATGTGGATGTTCGTGTTGATGCCGCCTACATCGATTACATCAACGCTGTTCTGCAGCAAACCGAGATAGAGCACGAGTACGTCAGTGTGTGATAGGGTTTCTACACGTTAATAGGTTTGCTTTCACTAGAAGCAATAAAAATTGTTTTGGTCATATGAGTTATGGATCAAATATGAGTTATACTGTCATTAATGTGAGGGCACATTTTGCTTAATTTATTTATTGTCATGTAGTATATCTGGAAACGTTGTGGTTATGTGATATTTTTCTTGTGAAACAGGATACTGATTGATGACCTTCAGGCTGCGATTGACGCTCAGGTAGACAACGGGAGGATCTCCACCAAAGCCTATTCCTATGAAAAGTACAACAGCTGGGATACAGTAAGCAACTGGATCTTCCATGTAGTTCTTGGCTTATTCCATTGGCTACTAATAGTGGTCACCAATAAACTGATAAAATAAATAATTGTTTTTACATTGCATTTCAGGATGCCAAAAAATATTACTGGCTTGAGCTTTGCTGTCCCCCTTTGCAAGATATCGTCTCAACAATCTTCCCATTCATCTCTTCAGATCCAGTCTTGGATGGACCAAACGGTGTCAGCCAACTCTAACCTGGTCAGCAGGATGATCATCGGCACCACGTACGAGGGACAGCCCATGCATGTTCTGAAGGTAAAATCATGGCGTTTGATGAACATAGTCTTAGTGTGTCGTTTCATTGTATAAGCAGCACAGGGATATTGTCTGTGATTCATGGTACACTGGGTCATGCTCTTAACATCGATGAATGAGGGCCCCTACCTACAATCCAAAGACAAGCACATAGGTGGTGTTTCTAAACTACCCATACTTGCGTAAGATTGTGTGTGCATGTGTGTGCCCTATGATGCACTGTCATTCCACATACGACATTCCTCTGCATGGCGCCCTCTGCTGGCGACAAGTGTTAGAAAACTGAGAGATAAAAATGCAGTGAGTTTTTTTCTGTTACAGTTAGGTAAACAAAGTGGCTCCAGCAAGCCTGCCATCTTCATGGACTGTGGCATCCATGCCAGGGAATGGATCTCCCCAGCCTTCTGCCAGTGGTTTGTCAAAGAGGTACCGCTGAATACAAATGACAAAATAACCTTTCTGCTGCATTTCCACGGGTTAATGTGCCAGCTGTTTGGACCTGCTTCTTTCATCCCAGGCTGTGTCTACCTATGGGACGAACTCCCAGATGACCAGGCTTCTGGACCAGATGGATGTCTATGTACTGCCGGTGTTTAACATTGATGGCTACCGGTTCACGTGGAGCAATGTAGGTGATCTTTAAGACACCTTCATGGGACTTGCAGTCTGTCTAAGGTCCAGTTAAAATTCTAGCTGTTGCTTATGCTTTTCCTGTAATTGGAATCTGCAGAACAGAATGTGGAGGAAGACCCGCTCTAAGAATCCGGGGTCCACATGCATCGGAACCGATCCCAACCGGAATTTCAATGCTGGCTGGTGTAGTGAGTACAGATGATAAGTGCTGGACTTGACGATGTTCTCTTTATTGTCCATAGTCTTTGTTTTTTGCCTGACTGGTCCATGTGTCCTTCTAAGCAATGCTTTTCCTCTAGCGTGCAAGCCATTTAGGAGATACCAAACTGTTAAATTTCTCCCCAGCCGTTGGAGCTTCCAAAAACCCCTGCAGTGACACCTACTGCGGCTGCAAACCCGAGTCCGCGGTGGAAGTCAAGGCCGTGGCAGACTTCCTCCGCAAGAACAAGTCAATCATTAAGTCCTACTTGACCATTCACTCCTACTCCCAGCTGCTGCTGTTCCCCTACTCCTACACCACGGCACCGGCACCTGACCACGTTGAACTGGTATGGCTACGACTCTGACTTTGGAAAATGATGCTGGAGTGGAAACCAAACTCGCTCTCTCGGGTCTTATTAACAGGCTGATGTTCATCAGCAAAAAAGATTAAGATTTAATCAAGCATCACACAGGACCAAACCATAACCGGGCAAGACAAACATTGTACAAATAGTATGCTCAAGTCTTCTTGACTGCACACAGAAACCTTGACTTCGCTAACATTTGCAGGAACATGAGCGTAATGTACAGACAGGGTTACCAACCCATCTCCTTTGCCGACAGTCCAAAGACCTTCATCACTGGTATCCTATGCTATCTTACATCTCATCTCAGGCTCATGGACCATCTCTTCTTCATGTTCTTCTTGCATTCTGGCTTCCCTCTTATCACCCCTTCCTACTTTCATCACCTTTTATTCTGTTTTCCATTCATTCTCCTCCCTGATGACATCAAGTGGGCTCCTCGCTCTCCTCCTGTCCATATACACAAACCCCCTCCCCTCATGCCGCCGCCACGCTGGTGACAGCACTGTGTTCCTCTCTAAGCACCTTCCTTCAACCCCCCTCCAGATGCGCGTGGCTGAGGGGGCCGCTGCTGCCTTGAAGTCCCTCTATGGGACCCAGTACACCTGTGGCCCTGGAGCTGAAACGATCTGTGAGTACAAGACTCAGAAGAGCCAGCTTCTCTAATGTTTGTCCTTCTGCCAGCCAAAGGGTGCTTCTTGAGCCTTCAGATAGAAGCACAACTGCGTAGAATAAGTAACTCAATTACATGACTGAAGTACTGATGTATGAAGCATAGAAGCTTTAGCTCAACCATGGTCCGATGCAGGTTTTATGATTTCTTAGAAACCTTCGGCAATACTAGCAATACTGCTCCTGTCTAATAACTCTCGGAAAGTTGGTGCGTTTCTGAAGCATGTTTAATGTTTGTTGACCCTTCTGCACACAGTTGTCTTGCTTTATTGTAGCTGATTCATTTTCTATCTTAATGACTGTGGATGCAGGGTGCAGGTCCCATATAAAGGCCGCTCCATTTGTTCCCCGCTCGTCTGTGTTTTCCAGACCTTGCTGCCGGGGGCTCTGATGACTGGGCCTATGACCTAGGGGTGAAGTACGCCTACACCTTCGAGCTGCGTGACACTGGCCGCTACGGCTTCCTGCTCCCCGAGTCGCAGATAAAGCCCACGTGCCAGGAGACCATGCTGGCCGTCATGTACATCGCCGACCATGTGCTCAACAGCCTGTAATAGGGCTGCTCTTAGCTCACGCCAGTGTACTACACACGCCCCCCCCTCATTTCCTGAAATTGGACTGAAAATAATTGTCAGACACGGCCGACTAGAGTGAATAAATAAAATGTTGAACCTAACTCTGGGGGATTTGAAGTGTGTTGGATGCATCTGCTTCTTTTAAATATAAAAGGTATTCTGGGAAAAAGTGAATATCTTAAATGAAATTCAGCATACCTATCCAGGTATGGTCAAAGGTTTTTATCTCACCTTATAAATAAGCGCCACGTGTACAAGTCCCAAACAACTAAGCACTTCAGAAGGTTGTTCAAACCAAGTGTAGACAAACATGTAGGCACCAAGAAACTGTAGAGTATGGGTTTACAGAACGTAAAAGTTATATTCCATCCAAAATGTAGCATTGTACAATTATACAACAAAAAGTTACCCAAACACGTTTACAATTAAGAAAATGCATAAATGTAATAAAAGGATGTGCTGAATTAACTGATTAATCAATAGATAGATAGATAGATATCTTTATGATCATTGTGATTAAAACAACAAAATTTTGTTTGGCACTTTCTCCAATGCAGCATAATATACAGAATATTAAAACAGAGCATATAAAAAAGACAACTAAAACACTTAAATTCTAAACTACAGAACATAGTGCAACAGTGAATATATAATCCTGCTCCCTGGCACTAAAGTAACCTCATGCTTAGCAGGTTTATCCCATTCTAGCCTTTGATCGCTTCAGTCTATGAGCCGCCCATGTACTCATCAAACCTCTACCTCATCAAATAAGCACACTGCAAACGGCCCGTGCTGTTGACGGTCGTTAATTCTCATCTAGAGAAGCTGTCTATGTTACTACAATACAGCCAGCCCTTGTAAAGAGAAAGGTAGAGGGATACATTCAAACAGAACAGAGAGGCTTCATTACTCCTTTGACTCGGGAGATGAAGGAAGCTGCCAGGAGTCTTTGCCAATTGCAGTGTGAAATTCAGCAGAACCTACTGGGCCTGTGTGGGCAGCTCATGGATTTGGGGCACCTGGCATGACCACCAAAGTCAGAGACTCACTTTAATTGTCCAAGCAGAACCAAGAGTCCCAGCTGAATTCTGAATGAATTTTAAATTCGAATGCGATGTTCCCCAGGTGCCATGTTGTCAGATATTTTGGCCAGGTCTTTCCAAATTACTTTGTTTATTGCGTTTAGGCAGACAGTTTGAGCTGGACTTGACCACCATACCTAGTGAGGTCTGTTTGTGGCATTCAAAAGGAGATGCAGAAACAGAGAAGTATACGTCCATAAATGATTTCTGAATCCCATTCACTTGTGTTATCTGCTCTGGAATAAGCTTGGCACCACAGGGGACCAGAATGTGTTAGAAATGTCTTGCTGACAGGGGTGACATGGTGGTGTGCTGGTTAGCAGTGTTGTCTCACACCTCTAGAGTAAGGATTTGAGTCTCTGCTCCAGTTCTACGCGTGTTGAGTTTGCATGTTCTCCCTGTATTGTCATGGGATGTCCACCAAGTTCTCTGGTTCGGGAATGTAGATGGTGTTCACCAGACCTCAAAAGCCCCCTGCCGGGGGGGGGACATGAGCTTCACATCCTGCTTCAAACATGCCATTAAGCCCCTTAATTTCATGCCTTTTGTTGTCTGTAGCAAACAAGGCTTTCAGATACAGGAGGAGTTTCTTAAAGGAGCTCAGGATGTCCATCACAAACGGTGACAACTCAATGGGCGACTCAGGAGCCCATCCTCCAGAACAGCAAGTAACAGAAGCTCAAGTGATTTATCACAATTCTGGCAACTTATTTCTGGATTGGGGTTTCAATTGAAAGATTGCTGGTTCGAATCCCCAACCAGCAAGGCACCACTGAGGTACCCTGAGCAAGGTACCACCCCCAAGCACTGCTCCCCGGGCACTGAATTAGCTGCCCCCTGGTATGTCACATATCAAAGATCAAAGATATTTTTTTTGTCAAATCACATTTTATATGCAAGACATACATGAGAACCGAAATGCTGTTTCTCGCTCACTAGTGTGCGTACCGTCAAATTACAAAAAAATAGACATTCTATACAAAAAGACAGATAACAAGACACAGGACAAACTGACAAGGCCAGAGACAAATCGACAAGTGCAGATGGTACAAAGTGCAGATGGTACAAAGTGCAGATGGTACAAAGTGCAAATGGTAACAATTTAAAAGGCAGTTGTGCAAATGGTAAACAGATAAGAAAGTGATGAATATGGTTAAATGCAGACATAAATACATATATAAATGTATAAATGCAGGTTAAATACATATGGGTTACATGCAGAGGACACATTATGTTGTTGTGCACTGTGTGCTGTGGTGTGTCAACAATGACCACTGATCACTAAATTCTAAATATTGAATCATTTGATTAAATCCTCTGTTAATGGTAAATTATTAAGTTGCCCTTTTGCTGCCACTAGATGGCAGAAGTACGCAAACATTAAAACAAATACAAACGTATATGACGCCCACAATAATAAAAGTTTCTCCCAGAACCATGAAACAAACTCAAATAGTAATTCGGTTATAATTCATATGCTTTTGTAAAAAGCCACATATAAAACTTTCAGATATGAAGTACACTATGCTTTGTGACAACCTATTTGTAAAATAATATATAATACAACACAACACATAGAAGAGTCACGTATTTAGTCATTCACAGTGTTACCAGTAGTACCAATAGCAGGAGTAGTAGTAGCAATATGGTGAGCAGCGTATTATAAAATATATAAGCTATAGCTATGTGTTAATCTGTGGAGTGGCACGGTTCTTGTATGTGGTGCACATTTCACGACTTTTTGATTTTTACGGGTGGGTGTGTCTGGCTACAGATACAAACGGTCACATGATCGTGGGTATTTAAGACGCTCGCCTCCCTTCTTGCTGAAGCCGGAGCTGTGGGGGCAGGTGTCTCCTCTCTCATCTATCCGTTTGTCTCTCCATCCTCGGGCTTTGGGCTGCACCATCGGCTCCGACATCATGACAGGTGGGTGAAACTTTATGAATCGTTTAGCCCCTTTTTGCAACTTCATTTCACAGGAACCGCAGCTCGTTGTCAGATCACGTTTCAAACAGATGAGCTTGAAATAAGTTTAAGTGTGTGTGTGTGTTCTTTCCGCAACATGTTGGTGGATATGATTGAAAGTGCTTACTGTTTGCTTTCACTTTATTTTTCTGTAGTTTGCTTGCAGTCCTGAGATCTGGAGAAGGAAGTGACCCTTTTTCGTGCTCTTTTTGCGTGTAACTTGCCGTTATGTCGTTATTATGGCGCTTTTGGATCCTAAAGTCCCGCTCTTAATACTGCAAGCGGCATGTCTGCTCCAAGAGCGGAAATTGCTTTTCTTTCCCCACCTACTTCAGTCACTTAAGCACGTACGCCGCATCTGTTTGCTGTTATGTCAAAGTAGGAAGGAGTGCTTGCGGATATTTGCGGATATTTCACGTGAAACATCATGGTGGCCGCAATTAAAACTATTTTTTTTTCCTCCTTCCTATCGCTGGACGCGTTATTTGAAGTGACTTTTTTTTTCTTTTGGAGGCTTAGTAATGATTAATGCTCGCCTGTACATACAAGTAGTTTTGATTTCTGGAAATACAATTTGTTAGATGGTGCTCTCTGAGTGTAAGGTGTCTTGGGGTTTACTTTCAACTGTGCTGATGTACATGCTTCGTGCATGATGGGGGGGGGGGAAGGTTTTTGTCAAGGTACCGATGTGACACTGGGACAAAGCTAAAATGGATTTTGAGTTTAATCAGCACTTTAGAGTTTAATTGCCTCTGTGTGTTAACGTTGGTTGCGTTGGCGCTGTTTATTCATTCTCTCTCTCTCTCTCTCTCGCCCAATATTGTTCTGTACATTAACATGGCAGTAATGTATTCTATGCATATGGGGAGATCTGTATGATATCGGAATTTGGCGTATTTACAAGAATACAGATCCTCCTGCATTCTTCTGATAATAAGTGCATAACATCTCGTTGCTCTGAAGGCTGCTACCTGCTTAGATATTACTCTGCTTTTTTTTTTTTTTGTTTTTTTTGGCCAGACCAAGCATTTGTGACGCTAGCCACAAGTGACAGCTATGCAAAGGGAGCGCTGGTCCTTGGGAGGTCTTTACGGGACCATCGGACCACCAGGAATTTAGCAGTGCTCCTTGGCCCCCATGTGTCCGAGCCTTTCAGGTACTGCGTGGTAACTTATGGTCTTGGACTTTCAAAGTGAAACTAGTTTCAACCAAGTTGAAGCCAACAAATTTTAATCTCTCAAGCTTTCATGTTGTTGACATGCCTGTTACCAATAACTCTACCTCCATAGAGAAATGCTTATGGAGACTGTAGTTCATGTCATTGATTTTTTTTTTTTTTTGTGAATTTACAAATGTTACTGATCTGGGAGCCATTTCCTAAAAGCCAGATTCCCCCCCCCCCCTCCCAGGGAAGCACTTCGCCGGATCTTTGATGAGGTCAGACTTGTGGATGTCATGGACAGTGGGGATTCTGCTCACCTGGCCCTGATGAAGAGACCTGACCTGGGTGTCACCTTCACCAAGCTGCACTGCTGGACGTTGACCCACTATTCCAAATGCGTGTTTATGGATGCGGACACTATGGTTAGTGCCAACGTGCAGTTGATTGGCGGCGATGTGGCTTCATACCAGACATCTGGTGTTTGAGCCTGGGTGATCTTTGTAGCCATGATTTTATTTTTCCCCCACCATACACACTATCCCCTCCCAGAGAATACAAACTCTTGCTGATCTTTGCCATAGCCATGTTAGATGTTTGATGCTGAACATCTGTAGCAGTTTGAAAGCATTCTTCTCTCACAGGTGCTGTCGAATGTAGATGAGCTGTTTGAGCGAGAGGAGCTCTCTGCTGCCCCAGACCCTGGATGGCCGGACTGCTTCAACTCGGGCGTCTTTGTGTTTCGCCCGTCCAATGAAACGTATGGGAAGCTTCTCCAGTACTGTACAGAACATGGCAGCTTCGACGGCAAGTATTTAGACCAGTCATTCCAAGTTGGGGATTCAACAAGGGGAGGGATTTGCCAAAAATCACCATTCATCACTGTGGGATG